TTTCTATTATTCAGAAAACATTTCCAATGAAAAAAATCGGAGGAGTTCACTTATATCTTTCTAAACACTTCAGTAAGTCAAGTTTCACAAAGTGTTTGATGTGTAATAGAATATATCACTACAGAACTGTGCTCTCATAATCAGACCATCAGGTACATTTATAATGCTTCTTTTTCAAGCAGCAGTTAATCTGTTAGACTTGAAGAAAAAACAACATAAAACACCTCTACCAGAACTGGAGTTTAGCTGTGACAGATGAGTGGTTTTAACTCATGGTGGAAAAGAGAATTAATTCCAGAGGTTTAGGCCATGAAATATAACAGTGTACCAGAAAAAAACCTAAACATCAAAAGTATAATGCAAAGAATTTAAGAAGAAAGGCTGATTAAATACTCTGCCCATCTCCAAGTTGGCAAGAGCACCAGCTACAAAGCTGATCATGTTAAAGCTGCCTGACCCTTCTTACTCTGCGTTATTTTCAAAGACCAAGATACTACATGTTAAAATATAGCTGGAGCAAAAACTGGGAAAATAATGCCTTTCTTTTTTGTTGTTCTCCTCAGCATTCAAGTTTCCCTTCTGCTGGGTTTGGTTGTCCGAGGAAAGCAAAACAGAGAATGAAAGTCTACAGTAGTTTAAGGAAGTATTTTAATTGCACTCTTACACTCTGAGCAATGTATTTTAGGAAATACCAAATGTTCAACAGCAACACCCAATTCTATGTTCATTCAACCAGCCACTACTAGTTTTATAACCTGACATGAATGGAAGGCAGTCAGTATCCAAACTAATCAGTTGTAATAGCTATTCTTGCCTGGTTTTCAACCCTACTTATGAGCAGGGCAATCAACTAACTTCAAAACTGTAATTAGCCCTGGGGTTACTGTGTTCATCCCTACAAACAGGGAGATCTACTGAAACCTAAGTAGTTCAGTGAGTTCTCCCTATATACAAATATTCATGTATCTCTTTTTAGTAAGAACTGCTGAAGCTTTACAAAATTTTATCCCAATGAACCTAACTATGGTTTCCTTACAGTGAGTCTTTTACACACTTCAAACTTTTCCCAAATCTTAAAAACCAGGGTGATAAAAACTTAGTAAGATATGAAACAATCTTTTAAGAAGGGGGAGTGAAAGCTCACAGGAAAGCACCTCAATGCTATCTCTGAGATATTTGCTAAGCTTAAAAGAAAAAGAAGGAATGAAGACTTCAGAAAATAGTATCTGCATGAAGATACCAGAGATTGGGGAGAGCTGATTATTTTGATATTTGCTTCCATTGTATCAAGTACCACAGCTTCCAACAACCACTCTGAGCTAAAATGCAGCATCAGTTCCTCTCCTTTTAAATTGAGAGACTTTCTCTGTGTAGCCTGCTATGTCAGACAGCAAAAATAAACCAATGAAACAAAAAACCCAAAACAAACAAATAAAAATAAAAAGGAAGTCTTCATTCTTCCTGCTTAAACAGAGCCATTCTTGGCAGCAGGACCTTCACAGAAAAGCAAATAAACCCATCACATTAAATACTTCAGAGGAATTATGGATCCCTCTTTCTGCAAGAAACCCATGCTGCCGTTTCTCTAGCCAAATCATTATATGCTATATTTAATGCACACAGAGGCCTTTACTGTGCAGGCACAGAGCACTTGACCTGCCACCGGAACAGGTTTGTTCACTGGTGGCTGAAACATTGCCACAATGATACAAAATTGCAAGGTTTGGAGATTCCTGTGAAAGTATCCTGAGTAATTACACTTGCCAGCTTCAGGGCAGAATTTAACTTGCACACGACAGTTTGCACCAATGTTTTCCAGGGTAAAAGCCCCACCATGTGCTACTGAAAGCAGTCTGAAACTCAGTTTCCATCTGTGATCCAGCAGCAGGGCTCCTCCCACCAGCAAGAGGATGCCTAAACTGCACTAAAGGGAGTTACTGACAGCCTCCCCCAGGCCTCTCTGGAGACCTCAAATACAAGAACTGTCTGAAATTGAGACTAATTAGCCTACAAATGCTGAAGGAAACAGAGCTAACAGATACATTGCTGAGACCCACATCTTCCCTCTGCCAGCACAGCAGGGGCTCTCACCAAAGGATAACACCTGAAGGACACATCCAGGGATGCACCCACGGCCCCATCTTCGTGAGCTGTTCCTCTGGAACTCCGTCCAGAACGGACTGCGCTTCAAAACTATTATTTAGAGAGCTTGCAAAATCAGACAGAGCTTTTACAAGGCAAAATAAATTCCAAAATAAATTCCAGGGGTGAGCTATCTGCATGGAAAGGTACATTACACAGATCCTTCCTGGAGCAGCTGTTTTCAGAAGCTGAGAGAGGCTATTTATAGAGTGCCACTTGATTGCCAGTTCACATGAAGCTAAAACACTGAGTAAATAGGAAACAGCAATTAGTTCTCAGATGTCTTACTTCAAAACATGGTCACCGTCGATATTTCTGATATTTTACACTGCAGCACAACACACAATCATCCCACTGAAGGGCTCATTAAGCAAGTACCATCCACACAGACACATCTTCCTCCCAACTGCATTGTTAGTCATGGACTTGCTATAATGCTTTTCCTTTGATTTGGTGGCTGAAAAGGTGCAGCAAGAAAAGATATATATAAACTACATCATTTTGTACCTGAATCCATAACTGTTTAGACACATTTACAAAGAAATTTTGCCCAAACAAAAACCAAAAGATGCGCATGGACAATGCTTCAAGTCTCCCACTACTCCTAAGTTACAATGAAATTCCTGTCCTCCATTTGTTCTGTCTGCCAGATTGTTGAAACTCTACTAAAAAAAAAAATATAAATAGGAAGAAGCCTCACTTCCCACGCAGATCAGACCAGCAGTGACCAACAAGCAGTGGCACCCAGCTGCCCACTGCAGTCTTGACCAGTGGCCCAGAGAACAAAGCTCCTACACAGAGCTGCTGAACTCTGAAAGAGAAAAGACCCACACCTACACTGCCCTGCACACAAAAAGGCACAGCAACAGGCCTCTTCTCTGGGAAATCTGCACTTGAACAACCACACCTGAGTAGCAGCCCAATCAGTGGGTTTATTAAGGCCATAAATGCCATTTGGGGTAAAAGTGCAGTGGTTCCACAAGACAAGTACACCCTGTACCAACCCCCTGGTGAAAAGCAGGAGTCAGTAAGGACTGGGCATGTCTTGCCACCACCAATGCAGATCTCAACATCAGTTCAGTGGGAAGCCTCTCCCAGCTCCTATTCTTTCGAGCCTCTCAAGCAACTGAACTTGTTTAGGTGAAAGAATAGGAGCAGTAAATATGAGACCTTAGCCAAGGCACCAGAGTTCTGCTTTTAACTAAAGTTACATGCATTTTATTGGAGCAGCATCCAGAAAAGATGTCTTGCTAAGTCTGGGAAGATGATTTCTACTGTGCAAATCTTAGTACTTCAACTCTCAGAGACACAAGCACATAGAAGCAGAAGAAAAAAACTAACAAAGGTCTTCTTCAAAAAAAAGGCACTTATTCAGAATCTGCACACTACAGTCCTAAATTTAACATTGAGCTTTTTTGCTCCAGTGCAGACAAAACCAAAAAAAAACAAAAAAAAAAATCCAGTCAGAAGGATTGATCACTAAAAGTTAGAACAATCTTCATTTAAGGCTTGGCCAAGCACAGCTTGAGACATTACCAAAATCAAAAGCAGCTAGATCGTTAGGTCTCAACCTTTTTTTTATTTTAGGACTCAAAATTTCTTTCCAAGGGACTTGTGCACTGCACACACACACCCCCCCCCCCTCTGTAACCGGTAGAAACCAACCAGCAATAACCTTGATTTCCTCGATTAACCTTTTCTGGATTACTGAGCGCTCAGGGACTCCAGACAGAAAACTCCTGAGTTAGGCTCGGTAATGCGATATCCCACCTTAAATTCCACCAGGAAAAAACCAAACGACAGACCATGACCACCGAGCGCAGCGGGGAAAGCCTGGGAGGCACAGGTCGACACTCGTTTTACAACGCTGTAAATCAAGCTCCATCTCGAGTACTCGAGGTTTGCACTCCAAGGCAGGAATTGTTTTGCCACACGAGCACAAAAGATCGCGTTCCCGACCCACTGAGCCACCTACCCCGGAGAGAAACCCTCCCAAATCCACTACCATGGATCTCCACACCTCCGAAAACACGGGAATAAATGCCAGTGTTTAGAATATTTTTTTTCTGTAACGTTTTTTACAGAACCTACGCCACGACAGAGAATATCGATAGCTCCCTCACGCCACGGGGAAACCTCCCCGCGGCCTCGGGAACTAAAAGTGGCGCTGGCTTGAACTTGGAAAGTGAAAATTCCTGGCGAGGGCATGGAGGCGAGGGAAGCCCGGGGCTGCGGGGACCCCGCCGAGCACTTGGGGACACAAGGGCGGGCGGATCGGCCCGCACCGAGCGCGTTCCAGCGGCTCGGCTTCCCCCGAGCCCCGGGAACACCTCCCGGGCGCCGGGACAGCGGCCGCGCCATGATCCCGGAGGCGTCTACGTGCATTGTTCCCAGCCTCGGGCAGCTCAGCGCCGGTAAATCCGGACCCTGCCCGGCGCCGGGCACGGAACGCCGACACCGGAGCTATTTTGAGCCGCCGCCCAACTTCCCGGCTGGATCTCGGCGTGCAACAGTTCCTTCTGGGAAGCAAGGGCGGCGGGCGAGCGGAGCCGCGCACCGAGGGACCGGGGGGTCCTGGCGGGCCCCGGGCCACCCGGCAGAAGCACCCTAACCACCCGGCAGCTCGGAGGGATGGGGCCGCGGTGTCCCGGACCACCCCTGAGGGCGCGGAGGGCCGGGAGTGGGTTTGGAGGAGGCGTCGCCGCCCCACACGGGGCACAGGAAACTTCGGAGCTGTGGGACAGCGCGGCCGAGCGGGGGAGCGGCGGCGCCTGGAAGGGGCTCCGGGCCCCCTCCCCGCTCGGTGGGGCGGCAAGGACAGCCGGAGCCCGTCCGCACCCCCCGCCCCCCGTGCTTACCGAGGTAGTGCCTGCGCAGCAATCCGGGCTCCTCCAGCCCCAGGGTCCGCTTGCGCACGTCCCAGAGCAGGTGTGGGCAGCGCCCGCGGGACATGGCCCCGCGCGGGCGGCAGCGGCGCGCGCCGAGCGGGGGGGGTGCGCCGGGACCGGCCGGGCGCGCGCGATCACCATGGGAACCGCCGAGCGGGCCCCCGCGCGCGCGCCCCGCGCCCGCCTCGCGCCGAGGCACCGACCGCGAGCCACAGGCGCGGCGGCTCCGGGACGCGCCCACCGCGCGCGTGGCCACGCCCCCCCCGGCCGCGATGGGGGCCACGCCCACCGGGCGGAAGGGGGGCACGGGGGGCCCGAGATTAATGCGCGTCTCGCGCGAGCCGGTGACGTCGCCCGCCTCGACTGAGGGGAGGGCGCGTCGTGGGCGTGGGCGGCGGCGTCAGGGCGCTGGGCTCCGCCGGGAACAGACCCGCCCTGTCCAGTGAAGCGCTGTGAAGCCACAAAGCGGCCATCTTGGGTTTGGGCGCATTACTCGCAGCGCAGCGTTCCCCGCAGCGGCCATCTTGAGGGGAGAACGAAGCGGAGGCGGCCATCTCCGAGCCGGGCGCCTTGCCCTTGCGAGGGCGGCGGGCGCGCCAGCTCTCCCCAGGTGCCCGGGCCAGCGCGCTCAGCCAATAGCGCCGCGCACAGCAATCCGCCCCGCCCCGCCCCTGCGGCGGTGGCCAATCAGAGCGCGGGCTGGCGGTGGGCAGGCCCGGGGGGCGGGACCGGGGCGGAGGAAGGACGCACGGACGGGACGCGGCCCCCGCTCGGTGCCCGCTCGCCCCTCGCTCCCCGCTCGGAGCCCGCTCGCCCCGTCCCTCGCCATGGCCGCCGCCGCCGCGGGACTCCGCGCCTCCTATCACCGCATGCTCGACCGCATCGAGCTCATGCTGCCGCCGCGGTTCCGGCCCTTCTACAACCACCCGGCGGGTAATGGGCGAGGGTCACCTTGGCCCCCGGTTGGAGCGGCGGGAAGGGCGGAGCGGGGGATGCGTTCCGTACGGGTGCGGGGCGGGATCGGAGTCGCAGTAACGCGGGTAGGAGCGGGAAAGGGGCCCTGGAGCGCAGTCCTGCTCCGTAACGGGGAATCGATTGTGTGTGCGAAGGGAGAATGGGATAATTGGGCGGTTCCGGGAGGGATGCGCTGCTGTCGCGGTACCGTGGCGTGGATCCAGGGATCGCGTGGGATGCCAGAGCCTGGCCCGGGGGATGTCATGGGTTTAAAGGGGCCTGGAGGCCTCGGCAGCCGATTCTTTCAAGAGGATGTGCTGGAAAAATCATAGAATGGTGGAATGGTTTGGGTTGGAAGGGATATTAAAGATCATCCACTTCCACACCTTCCACCAGAGCAGGCTACTCAGAGCCCATCCAGCCTGGCCCTGGATGCTGCCAGGGTTTCTGATTTTAAATGTGTCCTGGTAACTCAGGCAGCTTTTGGTTTTATTTCCTTTCTGCTGAATCCCAGCTTCTACCAAAGGCAACTCGTGGCCATTGCTGGAGGACTCCCGTGGGTAAAGAACAAGCTCCCCTCACCTGACCTACAGTTTACCTTTCCGTGGGGGTTTGCGGTATTAGGGAGAAACCTCCTGTAAAGTGATCTCATTCAGAGCCATCGACGTGGTGTTTGTCATGTAAACAAATTGCGTCGGTTGTTAAAACGAGCTCCCGATAAAATCCTGGCATTCCATAGGCTCTGTCCCCACTGCTCTGTGTCAGTGTCACAACATCCTTGACTCTTCACCTACCAGGAATATGCCCTGTAAAAGTGGACTTTGGTTTGCAGTCAGTTGCTCTATCCTCTTACAATGGCCCTTTCTTGGAAGGAAAATCGTTGCTCTAAAGGAATCACAAAGAGTGAAAAGTGCAGTTCTCAGAATGTTTGATTTGTACTGAATTCACTTGACCAATGTATTTAACATTAACGTATTGTTTTTATATATAAAGAGACAATATGTCCAACACTGAGAGACACATTCCACTGGTGGGAAATGTGGCAGCTTCCAGATGCTCTTAGTGGATGCAAGGCACAGCAGGTACTGGGAACATCCATGTTCCTTCTTCAACAGAGCTGTAGTGGGAATTGGAGAAGGTTTTGCAGGTTCTCTTGCAGTGCCTGTGGGCTGCTTTTAGTCGTCACCATAATGTTGTAATTAATAAATCCATTTTTAGGGATTCTGTGTGTATATGTATGTTATATATACACACACATATCTGTCATAATCTATTACTGATGGTATAAGTGAGAAAAGTCACAGCACAAGCAAGTATAGAAACTGAGACCCTGCAACTTTTATTTTAGCCTTGAAGGTGTGTCTGTGAGAAAGTTATGCAATAGATGTCACTCTGACTGCAGAAAAAAAAAAGTGGGTTAAAAATGAAAGGCTTTCTCTTATCTCCAGTGACATCTAAATCTCTAGTCTAATTCAGGAATATAAGCATCATTGTCATGAAATTATAAATCACTTGTGAGGCATGAAGCACTTTCTGGCATAAAGAAAGCTTCCAGCAAAGTAATTGGTGCCTGTTACAAACTGTTTCTTTGGCTGGCATTGCTGGAGGACAGTGGAGGGCCTGGCACACCAACTCCCCAGGCTGCCATGGGAAAGCAAGGGCTGAGCTTGTGCTCCCTCCCCTTTGGCCTCTCTGGTTCACTTTGCCTGACTAAACTCAAGTTTTCAGCACAAAGACTTCTTATATTTAATAGAAGTCATACATTCTATAAGCTGGTCACACACATGATATCTAAATTAGCCTCTGGTGTCCCCCTGCTCTCATGTGCTGCTGTTGTATTCATCCTTGAAAAACTCTGGATGTCAGGAGCTGGGAAGAACTCAGCCAGGCTGGGTGCTTGCTGGAGTGCCTCCAAGGAGAGGTGTTTGACAGTCTTACCTGATTACAAACTTGGCTTGGTACCTTCCCTGTCTCCAGCTGTTTCTTAGTTCTGCAGTCAGCAGTTTGAAATGTTCGAGTTTTCTATTAGTAATAAAAATTAATGTCAGTCTTCTTGAAAACTCTGCTAGCTGTTTAGGGAATGTCAGTTTAATAATTTATACTCACCCCACATCCTCTAGTACTCCAAATCTGAGTTTGTGTTTTAGAATAAGATAAATGTTAGTAATTAAAGCTACTCTGTAAGACTGATTTATTTATAACAAGCTGAATTTGCAGCCTGGTACTGACACACCAAATAAGTGCCTAAGAGAACAGCAGCTGAAGTTTGTATCTTTAAAGGATGAACATTAAGCTGCTGTTATCTAATATTCAACAATATTAGACAAAAGGTAATGTGCTTGTAGTTATTAAATGCAGCTTGAAACATGATCACAAGCAGGGTGGGTTAAAAAGGGCTTTATGCAAAGCTGCCAAGCCAGTTTTTGTTTCCCAAGTCGTAGTTTTAAACTTGACGGTGGTTAAAACTGGAAGTACAAGTAGTTAGTGCAAGTATTTTAAAGGTTGAATTATTAGTGAAGAAATAACTCTCATAAAAAGCAGGCAAACAAAGTTCTGGTGGTTACTCCTATGTAATATATTACAGTGAAAACTTGGCTTCACCTTGCATGTTATCAGAGTGCTGAGCAGTGACCAGTGACCTAAACATTAATTTTTTGTGATAAAATTAGAACAGTGTCCTGACTGTTTCACAGGGGGATGATACTTTGGATTGTGGTCTCTCATTTAAGGCTTGGAGCAGAAGTCCCAGATTAATGATTTCTGGCATAGTTGTAGGTGTGGCTTTGCAGGGCTTTCTTTAACCAACCACTGGCTATTTTAGCACCACTGAAAATTATATGTATTCGTAAGAGAGTTGTTTTTTCCCCAGGTCCCCATGCCATTGGATTTTTCTCCCTTCCTTCTTGAGATTTCACCCTCTTCCCCATAATCCTCCTTTGCCTACTGGTAGATTTTTGGGGTGTTTTCCCTGTTCCTAGGCCTTTTCCTAACTCTTTCAATTATAAATGCATTTTGCCTGCTCTGGTGTCCTCAATTGCTTAAACATGGACATACAAAATCCTATCCAGCTGTTGCAGAAATGTATGGAGTGATTACACAACTGAAGGTTGATGCATTGGGTTGATGAATTATGAGTATTAGGTGCCAGAGCTGATGTACAGCAGTAGAAAGTACCAATAGAAACAATACATTATTTAAAAAAAAAAAAAAAGAAAAACCAAAATAAACCAATATAAACTTACTGCAGGTATTAAAACAGCCACATTTACTAAATAATTTAACTTCTTTTCTCCCATCCTCCCTCAGGTCCCAAAACAGTGTTTTTCTGGGCACCTGTTATGAAATGGGTAAGTACAAAATGCCAGCTGGTGTCTGGGTGTCAAGCCCAGGGCAATCTGCAGCAACACACTGAGCAAGCAAGAGTTTCCCAGCAGATACTGGAAACCTGTACAAAGATTAGAGACTCTAATTCTTAATATCTGGGGAGGCAGAAAATTAACCTTAATAACAGAGAGCACAAACCGAAGGGGATACAGCGTGGGGAAAATGCTTTGTGGAAGAATTGTGCTTTTCACTGGGTTTCACAAAGGCTTTCTCTTGTGAAACACCAGCTGTTGCTCAAGGTGGGCATGATGCAAACTCATAAAGCATGTGTCTCTTCTGAGATTAAGGAATTTGAGAAGTATCTTAAGGAAGCCAATTCCTAAGGCTCATAGCTTGAAGCATGTCAGAGCACAAGGTACTCTTGACCTAAAAGACAAAGGCAGCTGCCATTGTGGCTGTCAGTGGTTCTCTCTCTGCCTCCTGTGAGCTTCTGCTTCCCACTGCCTGCAGCCCTGGGCTGTGTTTGTGCCCAGGTGATGCAAATGCCACCTCCTAATTCATTGTGCTCTTCTGAGGTGTTGCATTGATACAGATAAAACAAGAGATCTCCAAACCCACGAGGGTTTGATCTTGTTTGATAGCAAGGATGTAACCTGCTCTTACCACTGCCAGCTGCTTTGTAACTTTGCCATTGTGAAGCCCAGCGTTTTGCAGGCCACAGGCAACATTGTGCTCTAAGCTACAGCTTGGTTTCTTTGTCAGTGTCTGAACTGGAGCTGCAGGAGCCATGGTTAACCTTCCCCTTCCTCAGAGATTCTCCCTGGAAACGCCCTCCTGAGCCTGAGCACACAGGCAGCTCTTCTGTGCCCAAGGAGTCCTGGGTGAAAGCATCAGGACTGTCTTTCTGAGGGGTTTTGTTTGGGTTTTTTTGTGAGCTGGTGTAAAGGGAACATGAAATTGTATTTCCAGTAGAGGGCAATAACACAACAAACAAAGCAAGCAGTGTTTGCTGCTAATGTCAAGTAGATCAGCCAAGCCATGCCTCAATTTGCCTGCACATTTTCTACTACTACTGGAATTATATTTTAAAAAAAGCACTTTTACCCCCTCAGATGAAGCTGAGTGAAGACTATATATGGTGAAGTTTACCACCATATCTTAGCCTGACCTGTGGAAAGAAGGCCCTTATTTAGATAAGCCTCTACTTGTTGCATGAAAACAAGGGTGGATTTTTTCAGCTGCTTTCAAGCAGCTATGTTTAAATTAACCTTGTTCTTGAGTTAATACAAAACTGCCAGTGCCTGGGATTTTATTGCCATGCAGTTGTAGCTGCCATAACTGTGTTCTTTTTCCTACCACAAAGGACTGGAAATGGATGGTGTCTCCCAGAGTCTAAGTGCTCACAGAATGCATCCCATCTCCTGCATAATGCAGTAGGATAAGCACTGAGCTGTGAAGCAGCTTCCCCTTGTAAAGCTCTTCATCTGTTACAGGAGTCCCAGACTGGTGCTCACTGAATTTCTCTTTGCAGGGCTTGGTGGGGGCTGGACTGGCTGACATGGCCAGGCCAGCAGAGAAGCTCAGCACAGCACAGTCTGCAGTACTCATGGCCACAGGTAAAGCCACCCTTACTCTCCGTTTTCACACCATCTTCCATCAGTACTAATACATTTCCACAGAAAGCCCTAATTTGAACATGCTAGCTCTCACTATTGCTGTTGCTGATTCTAGGACAGACCTCTACTTGTTATTAAATCAGTCAGCATTCTGTAATTATCTAACAGTTTCCTACACCTGTCTTAATTTGGAATTGTTCAGCACAAGTTACTACGAGTTAGGCATGAGTGTCATCCCCTAAGTTACCATGATACCATTCATTGCAGTAAGTGACCTCTTTTCCTTCAGATTTTGAATTTTGAAATCAGTCCAGGATACAGTGACTTTTTTAGAACAGACTTTAAAGGATTTAAGAATGGTAATGTAATTACACTAACATAAATGGAAACAATTTCCAAGTGTTCCAAGAAGTTGGAAGCAGTGGACATGGACTACTGCACTGCTGTCTGCCAAGAATTCTCACACTGGCAGAAACAATATTCTGTAATCCTAGAATCATTTAGGTTGGAAAAGACTTTTAAGATCATAGAGTCCAACCATTAACCCAGCACTTCCAAGTCCACCACTAAAATGTGTCTCTAAGTGACACAACTACGCTTCTTATAAACACCTCCAGGGATGCTTCTGCACCACTTCCCTGGGCAGCTTTTTTTCCAGTGCTTTTCCTGTCTAAAAGGGTTCTCCAGACTGATATCTGATGCAGTCCTGTGCATTTTGCACAAGCTTTGCATAATCTCCAATGTAGTGCAGCAAGCTGGATATACAGCAAAATACCATTACCCTGCAACTGTTTTGGAGAATTAAGGTCTAGGCTGCTGTAGACTATAGAGAATCTTTGATATTCAGACTATGACTGACCTTACTGTAGCTATTTCAGAAAAATGTAGTACATACCTGTAGATGTCCCACTGGCACTCTTCACTGAGAAAAAGGTAGTTATAAACAACACAGTTGTCTAACATGAAGTTAGGAAATTTGTTTACTTCAACTGCCTATGAATCTGCCTCCAAACATAGGGAAATATCTGAATATTTAATTTGAAATATCTTTAAACTTTCCATTTTTTTCAACAGGCCTTATTTGGTCAAGGTACTCCCTGGTGATTATCCCTAAAAACTGGAGTCTGTTTGCTGTGAACTTCTTTGTTGGCTGTGCTGGTGGTTCCCAGCTTTTCCGAATATGGAGGTATGCATTAACAAGGGTACAAGTACAGCTTAGCATTAACCAGGAATTTATTAATGCTGCCAGCCTCTCTGTCAGTGCAACAGGCAAGAGGAACTGAACCATTTATGAAATGTTACAGATCGGTTTTGCTACATTGTTAGTTTTACAGTTAAGTTGGAGTGAAGCTGTAAATATTTTCAGTCTAGCTAGAGCAGCATTGAATCTTGTCAGTTCCAGCTGGATCAAAGGGCTTTTAAGCAGAGCAGCATTTTTCAAAAAAATTGTTTCTTGAAGGAAATTTTGGGAGTTTTCTGGCTTCAGTACTGGCCAGGAATGTGGCAAACTTAGCTACTTTGGAACTTCCTACAAGAATTAAGATATCCTATCCCGAGTTTCCACCCTCAAGTCCATTGTAATTTTAAACCTCCTCTGGTGAACAGATTGCTAGGACAACACTGTTATTGTAACTGGTGTTCTATTCTATTCTTAGCCTGTGCTCTTTCTTTTTTATTCCTATAGGTATAATCAGGAGCTAAAAGCACAAAAGCAAGTGCAATAAAGAGATGCTTAACCCAACAGGTCAAATCTAGCAACGCACAAACCCATCCCCATGGGACTTAGCTTCACTAATTTTAATGTTTTTTTTCTCTGAGAAAATAAAAGAGGAAAATAAAGAGAGCAAATGTTTTCTAAGTGCAAATAACCAAGTATCTCCACAAAAATAAAGGGCAACCTTTTAAAATGAAGGCAGAATTGTCTTGCATTGTCTCTTTAAAGAAACTGGCTGGATTTTGTCTAAAAAGAGTTGCTGAGCCTCACCTTATCTGACTCCACTGAACAGTGCTGGGAGTGACACAGTACTGGTGACAGCCAGAGCCTCAGACTGAAGTGACCTTTCCTGTCACAGTCAGAAAACCACCTGGCTGGGGGTTTGCCGTATTTCAGTAACCAACAGTAGCATTTGCATTTCATTTCCTGATGCTCTTCCTTTCCTGGTAGCATAAGGATATTTGTTCTAGCTTCAGCTGTGTGTGTCTTCATTTGTTCCCCAGCCACCACTGTCCTGAAAAAAAAAGACAGCAAACAAATGTGCCTCTGGTGTTTTAGCTTCCTTCACAACTCCAGGCAGAAGATGGGGTTGTTGAAGCACCACACTTAGACTCAGGAATTCACATGCAGGGGAAAAGATAACTGAGGCAAGGTAGGTTCTGATGAGTCTGTCAGCTCCCCTTTTTCAAAGGCTGTCCCACCATGAAGTCAGTTCTCTGCTCTGCCACAGTTCCACTGGCATGTCTTGGTCCTTGTGGCTTGGTCCTTGGTCCCAGGGTCTCAAGTGGCAAATTCTCCAGCTGTGCTGGTCACCAAGTGGACACAGTGACTGAAGAAGAACACTGCTAGGAAGAGAGGTGGTGTATTCCAGTCCCCCCTCCCTTCTCAGTCCCCAGCCAGGTAAGACTCATCCAGCAAACCAGTAATGGGAAAAAAAAAGTGTATTAAAATATTCACAAGATTACAATAGAAAACATTAAAGTCCATTCAAGAAAAAATATCCAAGATAACTGTTTCCAGATGAATCTGAAAAAGCAAAAGCACTAACAGTTGGTACACTGGCTCTTCATGTAATCAGGCCATGCAATGCATATCTAGCTCCCTCACACAGATTATACACCTGTCTTACAGGTGTTTGTTGTCTTGCACACCTCCAGGACAGAGGTTTATAAAAGAAAAGTACCCAGTCTATGTTTTCAATTACATTTACCACATAAGAACAGTTGGCATGGCAGGGAGACAGAAAACATTGCACAGCACACTGATCTCCAAAGGCATTGAACTTATATTTTAGAGTGCAAAAATACCTGTAAATGAAAGGGCTTATTAGCTTTAGGGCAGTGAAGAGAAGGGAAAGAGAAACCTAAAGAGAATAATTGCTGAGCCTTGTTAACATGATTTTGTAGTCTCCCATATAAAAATGTTACACTGCAGAGGTGTGGCCACAGCCCAGAAGTCCCACCCACCTTCTCTCTTGGTGGTTTTATTGAGGAAGTATTTCCATCACCTATGATACAATAACTTTTTGTATTTGAGGTCCTTGGCAGATACACTACTGATGTAGAATTCCAAGACAAGATTCCAATACAGAGTGAAGGTGTTCTGGTCACAAATCAAAAACTCCATACCTGATCTCAATGAATCCACTCTAAGGTGATGCAGCTTTTAAGTTGCATGCACACCTTTACTGCAGTTACAAGACAGATGGTTACCTAGACAGTTCTCACAGGTTTAAAAGGTTTAAAAACCTAATTACAGCTCTTGTCACAAACTGAAATACTACTAAAGCTTTGAGAGAAAACAAAACCCTACAGGTCTCCAGTTAAAAATGACACATCAGGCAATGAGTTGCAGAGACATATCTGCCCCTCTGTAAAGGCTCTTAATGCTAACATTTTGTGAACATGATGAGCATCTTCCTCACAGAAACACTGCTGAAGTCAAAAGGGGCCATGGAAACCTGATGGATTGAGTACAGCTACCAATTTACTTAGCTTGATACCTTATTTGTAGTCCTCTTGAAATTCATTATAGTAATCAAAAATTAAGAAGATTTCAGACTGATCCCAGCTTTGTTTGCATGATGAATAAGAGAGAATTTATTGCAAGTCTGTCATCACACACGCCCTCCCATGTCCACTATCCAGGAGCAATGACCCCCCTAACTCTTTTAGTCACTGGCTACTGCCTCAAGAGAGGTGCCTGCTCCTCCTCTGGGCTGCTGCAAACCTGGCACGCAGCCCTTGTTTTGAAAATAGATGATCCTAAAAAGAGTTGGCAGCAATGCAACAACAGGACAAGGACAACACCCTTCATGTTCCTCAAAATCCAAGCTGTTCCTTTCCTCCTGCAAGGAACAGCATCAGAGAATTAAGAGAACAGAAACAGCAGAGCAATCAGTTCAACTTCTGGTCACCAGAATAGCAGAACCAGACCTTGTCTGAAACCTCTGCATGCTCTACCCATCAAGGAAGAGACGTCCTCTGTCTCCTGAGACTTTACTAAGTAAGCCAACTCAGCATCAGTCCCTTTCTTCAGCACAGGTTATATCATTAAACCATCTCAGATAACCTGAGGAACAGAAAGTTCACAAGTGTTGTCTCACAGTGCCTGAAGTTCTTCTGACTTCAGCATGAATACATTACTTAATAATAATATTGCTCACTTTTCCATGACCAAAAAAAAAATTTAAAAAAATCAACAGCCTTGGCACTGGAGTGGGATCCACAGATTTCTGCCATTCCTGGGGGAAGACTTTCATTTCTTTCTAAAAGGATGTTTAGTGTTTTTTAAAATACTTCTACGTTTACGTTTTTAAAAAACTTCTACGTTCACTCTGCCTTCATAAAGAGGACCCAAGAAGCCTTGCAGGGAGCCTCCTCAGTCTAGGCAATATGAACATACCTGTAGCTAGACAAAAGCCATGCAAGGAGATGTCTCCTCAAGTCAGTTAAAATCAGCCAGACCAGTGTGTCTCCTAAAGTTAGCACCAGATCAGTCCTAAAGTTAGCACCGGATTCATGTGCTTCCTAAAGTTAGCACCACATCAGAATTGTGCTCAGATTTTCCAGTACATTCCAGCAGGAAAAGAAGCAAACATTAGTAGCAGACTTCAGAGGCAAGGCCAGCCCCATATTCTCATAGCAGCAAGTTTCTGATCACCACATTCATCACAATTCTCCTTCTTACTCAAAAATGTTGGGGGAGCAAGACGGTGATGCACAGGGATGAACAGGCAGATCAAAATCAAGTTTCTCCATCAACCACATCCAAAGCATTAATGTTTTTTAAGTGTAAAATAAATGTTGGGAAGTAACAGCCTGATAGATAAGGAAAGCAGCAGCAGGATTCCTCCTGATCTTAATCATAATTTATACTGGGTTGGAAGGGACCCATCAGGATCATCAAGTCCAACTCAATCCTATAGAACCACAGAATCACACACTGGACTGGGCTGGGAAGGACCTTAAAGATCATCTGGTTCCAACCCACCCACCATGGGCAGGGACACCTTCCATCAGACCAGGTTGCTCAGACCCTCATCCAACCAGACCCATAACACTTCTAGGGATGGGGCATCCACAGCTTCTCTGGGGAACCTGTGCCAGTGCCTCACCTTCTTCTGAGTAAAGAATTTCCTGACTACAGCACCAACATCAGCACTGCAGCAACCAAGGCAGTGGATCTTATCAACAGATGGAGGCTTGAGTGGACAAACTACCCCTGAGCATCTCTGTCAGCTGCCAGCACTGGGTACAAGCACCATAGCCCTTCATGTGGAGTGCTTAACCCTGCTTAATCCATGAAGTAGAAGAAGATATTTAAAAGTCTCCAGTGAATAATAATTTTGTCCATTTTTCATCTTGTATGTGTTACTGCCAAAAAATAAAATGCTAAAATATTTACAGAGTTGTTAGTTAGCCACAGCTCAGTTCCCTACAAGACTTGGCAAATACCTGAAAACTGATGCTTTAAAACTGAAACATGCCCTTTTTTTGATACCAGCCAAGTCTTGGAGGAAGAATTACACAAATTCAGATATTGCAGGATTAGCAACTGACATATGGCAGAATAAATTAATCCATGGTTTCCTTCTGAGCTCCAGTTTTAAGAAGCTGGTTCTGGCTTTGAGGACAATGTCCTAAGATCTACCCAGTGCATGTGTACAAAAATAAAGCTGTTGATTTCTAATAAAGGCAGCTTTTGTCAGAAAACCAGTGAAGTCTGATCCTGATAAAAGAATAGTGTTGTCATTCCTAATTTTCTTGGGAAAAAAAAACCCCACTGTACACAAAATAAATATTTAAATTGCACTGTCATAATGAAAGGATTATCTAATGTGGTTGTGAAAGGGTCTACCATGGGCCTGTAACCATTTTTCATGTGCTTGGTGTTAAGAGTCAAATGTGGGCTTGAGTTTGTTTTGAGCAGGTTGCCCAGAGATGCTGCAGAGGTCCCACCTGTGGAGATGCTCCAAACTGGGCACAGTGCTGGTCAGCCTCTTCTGGCTGACCCTGCTGGAGGAAGGCTGGATCATCTCCAGAGGTCCCTCCAACCTCAACCATTCTGGGACTGATTCTGAAACAGACTGAACTAGGAAATGGGTAAGAATCAGAGAAAAGGGGTTACCATAGACCAAACTGAAAATTATTTGCTGCCAAAAAAAAAAAACCCAAAAAAAAACCAACACAAACCAGAACTACCACATTGGGATGTACAAAACAGAAATCCTTTTTCTATATGCCACTTTGAGATTATTTCTGCTGGAAGGCCACTTCTAGTTTTGAGCACCAGATTTCAGAATACAATGAGTCAGCAAAAGAAATCCTCATCAGCAGAGATCCTTAATAATCTAGGAGGAGGTTAATCTAGAAACAAGAGGCTGGAAAATTGTATTCAAGCACTAGACTTGCAGAGATTAGGGAAATAAACTGCCCATCTGCATCTTCTGTGCAAATACTGGTCACACAAAAAAACCACACATCAAAAAACCCAAAGAGCCCTGGATTTCCTCCAGTTGTTCAGCTTCCACTACAGGCTTTTGAGAACAGATAAAACAGCTCCAAGGAGGTGACAGTGGCATAATGGAGCCATGGGAGAGAGGCATGGGAGTACTACAGCTTCCAGATCCCTCAGAGCCCTTTTTAACACATGAAATGACAGAGCTTTGAGGAAGAAATATTTCACTGAAAGGTTC